TTTCTCAGAACCTTCTTTTCTTAATATCAATTCTAGAAGTAATCTGTTTACTGCAAAGTTGCATCTAGTTGATCAATTTACTACGATCACGTTTTGATATCTTTAAATAAATCAGTGTGTTACTTGACAATAATAATGTTTATTTTCTTGGAGAAATTCATGTCTATTTTACTTCTTCCCTTATAAAATTGCTGGCTAGCACCTCAATAAGAACGTTAAATGCTACTAGTGATATTAGATATGTTTGGGAAGTTGTCCGTGATTTGACTAGCAATGTCTGCTTTTATTCTTTCTCATCCTTAGAACTTTTTATGATAAAGTGTATTTTTAAGAAAATGTACAATGAATCCTATTTGATTAAGACTAAAACAGACATATTAAATCAAATTCTTGGATATATCTTAATACTTTTTTGTAATTACATGCTAGAACGCTTTGAGTTTAGGATATTGTAGGTTAAAAAAGGAGATTAAATAGCTCTGCTAAAGCTACTTACACTGAGTTTCACGCAGGTTCTCTGCTAGTGGAAGGGCATGTTTGCTTTTGGGGAAAACTCCATTTGTCAAGTAAGGACCACACTGGGCTTTGCTTTCAAAATGTGTTTCTGTCTCAAAATGTGAGTCATGGGCTTGTGTAAATAATATCATTACCGTCCAAAAATTAATGTCTATTATAATGAGCTATACAAAGGTCCATATAATATAATGAAAGTGAGCATCTCAGTTTAAGAGACAGGTGGCTCTCTCATTGTGTTACAAGGAAAGGAAGGCATCTTAAGACAAAGGAGAGAGATGTGATCAAGAAAGCTTGACTAAGATTTAGAGGTCCAAGTCTCCTCATTTGGTCTTTTCAGTTGGTTTCAAGTAAAATTAATTTCCCAAAACGTTTTTCCTCAGGAACAAGACTTGGCTTGTATCTCGAGGCTGGCACCATCATTCTGTGTCAACCAGCTTCACACACAGGAAAGTCGTGTTTTTGTTGAAGCAAGGCCATCTTAGAAGGAAGGTGGTCTGCCAGGTAATTCTATTAAGATTCCGTGGTTTTCCCACCTTGTCCTTAACCCCTTCTGGGGTAAGCAGGCTCAAATATTACTTCCTGTTCCAAGTGCAGCTGCCGTCTCCCATACGTGTGGTGATCAAGACACTTCTGCACAGGTCACTCTCCCGGACTTCCTGAGCACACGAGAGCTCTTAACGTTTCCTCTCTTCTGTTCTGCCCCGTTCTCTTGTCGACTCAGCTCAGACGGCATCTCCTGTTAAGAGTTTCCTGGTCACATCCAGTCCGTTGCTGCTTCCTCTATGTTTGTTTTTTGGTACACAGCTTATTATTAACTCCTGTAATATGATTCTGTTTCTTTTTCTTGAGTATTAACCAATACTCTCATATGTCTGAATATTGGGAAGCTTAGCCTTCATTCATTTACACAATGAGGAAATTCTACAAATGCTCTTTTGGCTAACTGAAATAAATGTGAGTTTAAGAGCATAGAGAGGACTGTTACAGTTTGCCTAAAATGTTTTGCTTATCAATTTACTTATTCCTGCATATTTAAAATCATTCCTGATGACATGATATTTAAAGAACTTTTTTTTAACTTTCACATTTCATAAAACAGTTTTACTAATACTTCATTTATAGGTCATCATTAACCTTTGGCAATACTGTGGCTATTCTTTCAGTGATCAAGTGTGAATTTTCCAGATTAAACCATCTTCACTTCCAGTTAAGTTATAGGAGATCCGGTGTTATTAAAATTAATGCATGACATTGTCTTAAGTATCCACTGGCAAAATGTTGGGAATATTGGTTCTTTCTACGAATCTCTATGGTTCCACAATGTACCTATAAGCATAACTTTTTAAATGTGAGTTTTCAGAGGTTTTTGGAGGATGAAATTCTGCAGATATTAAATGCAGCCTTTTGTTCCAGAAATAATTGAACAATCTTGTTCAATTTCTTCTCTCTCTCCCTTTTTTTTAAAAAATTTTCTCACTGATTCCATTAGGAGAGCTCTTACAGCTAACACTAATTGACATACATTCAAGGTAATGGATTTTACTAGATAGTAACTTAGTGTTCAGAATAATTTAAGGTAGAAAATGCCATCTTAATGGGAGACGTTTGTGAAGGCTTGAATTTAACAGACTCTATTGCTGTGAAATTTTGGGGACTTAAAAAAGAAAAGTAACCCTCAATGTCTTTAGGGCACATACAACATTTTATTTGAAAATAGGATTTTTGTCCTAATTTTAAAAAAGATACATTTGTTTATTTGACATCCAGAGTTACAGAGACAGAGGAATAGACAGAAGCAGAGGTCTTCCATCTGCTGGTTCACACCACAGATGGGTACAAGAGTCAGTGCTGGATCATGCTGAACCAGGAGCCAGGAGCTTCATTTGTGCCTATATCATGGGTGGCAGGGACCCATAACTTGGGCAATCCTCCACTACTTTTCCTAGGCTGTTAGCAGGGAGCTGAAATGCAGAAGCTGCTGTGTCACCACCCAGCGACCCTAGGGGGTGCTGGTGTGGCAGGTGGCAGCTGTACAATTCCAGCCACAACATCAGCCCTATGGTTGATTCTTAATAAGGTTACCTGCTAGAATAATGAAAGGATTAGTTTTAGCACTGTAAACAACATTGTCTTGGGGAATGAGAAGATAGTCAAATGAGAATAGCTTGGTTCTGCAAATTCTTTGGAGCTAGATAAATCTAGCTTTAAATGTGGCACAGTATTAATTACGTTTGGTGTAATTTTTGTGTAGGCCACTTAAAGTCAATGAACTTCAGTATTCACCTCTTTAAAATTTGACAATACTCGTGTATTCCTTACACAGTTGTTATGAAATTTAAAAATTAAAATATATAAACATAAATATTTCTTTAGATAATGTTAGAGTGTGTGTGCGAAGTCTTCGGTCATTATTCTCTCCCTCAGGACTTGTTATAGTTTGTTACTATCCAATGTACCTTTGCCCAAATCTCCTATGTGATAGGATCCAACATTGCCTGGTGTTATGATTCTGTTCTGACCTGTTTCCTTCTGTAGTACCATTGTGAAGTTTCTTCCATTCCCGAGATTCTAACACCTCAAGAGTGTAGTCCTTTGATTATCATATTGTTTTCTTGCTGCTCAGACTTTTAAGTGTATTTCATTATCCAAGGATCTTGATAAAATGCATATTCTGAGTCAATATGTCCTATGTCAGGCCCAAAATTCTGTATTTCTAATAGGTTTTCACATGTTGCTGATGTCTACGGTCCACACTTTGAGTCATAAGGACAGAGAATGATGCTGTAGCTTTAAAAACGTAATAGAAACTTGGTTGGCTGCTTTCGAAGGCACCCCTGGGAGGAAATAAAAAACATATTTTGCATATGCAAAATTTCACAATACTTCACTGAGCTCACTCATCCTCATACCATGTTCCATGGAAGATGAGTAAAAATTTCCATTAAAGGAAAAGCTTTTAAGCCAGAATATAAATAAGAGATTTGCTGTTTTCATTTGGTCAGTCTGAAAAAAGCAAGTTTACACTGTACCTTGAAATTCTTTTGGATAAGAGCAAACACATTCTAGTGAGTTGGGCCCATCTTAGAAAACAACTATTACTTTGCTAGAATTTTTACATTGCTGGAGATCCGAAAAATGAAGGTCAAGTTCACACTGCAGTCAGTGCTTGAGGTTTTAAGCCAGTGATATTTTCCTTGTAAAGTCTCTTTGGAAAAGCCTTCAGATTTGAGTCAGCTAGGGTGAACCCATTTTCCAAAGTTTTGTTTCTGGAAGCATTTAATTGAAAGGAAAAACCCCAAGAATGCATCTAGAGTTGAAAGTCGTGCAGCAATTGGGAGGGCCTCGAAATAGCAACAATGGTAATATGTGAAGCCAAATGAAATCTGCAAATTATTAGGATGAGATTGGTAAGGGGCATAGAAACTTACTAAGAGGGAAATGAGAGCAATGAGTTTTCCAATATGGACTTTATACTGAGAGGTGGAACAAAATAGAAGTGGAGACAGAAACCTCACTGAGTTAAAAGCTAAAAGATGGCAGGGACTGCAAGTTTAGTGGAGTCTGGATGGCTTTCATTTTAGTTTGATTTGCTGAGAAGTATTGCAGGTTCAGGATCTCGTTGGAATGTCCATCGTCAGTGCAGCCTCTTACAAGTTCTCACAAAAAGAACCTGTCAAAACCTCTAACATTGGACTTCCAAGAACTCTGAAAAATGAGTGGCTGAAAAGTGATTGCTGGTATCTGAAAAAAAAATGGCATTAACTAAAAGGCAACTGGGTTCTAGTTAAGGAAACGGACTCAGATTTTAATTTTTTTTGGCCACATGTCTAATTTTTCATTTTGGTAAATATTATAAAAGAAGAGAAGCAGCAAAAACAGTGCTAATTCCTGTTCTCCATCCTTCTCTCTGTGTGTCACACACACCAAGAAAACCAGATGCCATTTCTGCTATGTGGGACTGGAAAGAACAAGGGTTCTTCAGAAAGTTTATGGAATATAGAATTTAGAACTCTAAATTCATTTTCATGCTAAGAAACTTTTTATACGCCATTTTGTTTCATAATATGTGTAAAAATACATATTACAAAAAATGGTATTGGATTTTAAATTTTGGACCCTGCATACACGTGTGGGAGACCTGGAAGAGGCTCCTGGCTCCTGGCTTTGGATTGGCTCAGCTCCAGGTGTTGTGGCCACTTGGGGAGTGAACTCTCCTTCTTTCCATAAATCTGACTTTCCAATAAAAACAGAGAAATCTTGAAAAAAAAAAAAAAGAATTGAAACAGCCAGAGTACATGGGCCTCTGCAACCCATGTCAGAGACCTGCATGGAGGTCCAGGCTCCTGGCACAGACCTAGTTCTGTCCTGGTCATTACAGCCATTTGGGGAATGAACCAGCTGATAGGAGATATATTCTCTTTCTTTCTTTGTCTCTCTCTGCAACTTGCTCAAATAAGTAAATAAGTCTTAAAAAAAAATACTGAGTGCTCACTTCAGCAGCACATATACTAAAAATGGAATGATACAGGGAAGATTAGCATGGCCCCTACACAAGGATGACACACTAATTCATGAACCATCCCATACTTTTTAAAATACTGATAAAATACTAATTCAACACTAAGGTGTTGAATCTAACCTGTAAGATGACAATGAAGAAACCCGTTCTCATGTCCCAGGAGTGCTTAGACAGTACCCAGCTTTGGCTCTTGACTCCATAGACCCTTGGGGGTTTTAGGGGTTGGCTCAAATAACTGGACCCCTCTACTCATACAGGTGATCTGGACTGAGTTTCTGCCTCTCAGTTTGTCCCAGTCTTAGCCATTGTGGGTACTGTGAGATGTGAACCAGTTTGAGGAGCTTTCTTCAGGTATTATGTCTCTCAAAATAATAGTAATAATAAACAAAGGTGCTAGCCTTGTGGCACAGTGAGTTAAGCCTCCTCTGCCACCATGTGGTAGACTCAGGTGAAGTTCCAGACTCCTCGCTTCAACCTGGCCCTCTCCTGGCAAATGGGATAATTTGGGAAGTGAACCAGTGAAAAGAAGATCTCTTTCACTTTGTTTCTCCCTGTCTTTGCAACTCTTTCAAATAAATAAATAAATCCTTTAAAAACAAGACAAAAAAAAAACCAACAGAATTTTCATTAAAAAGCTAATAAAATACACCTTCATGTAATGATACCAATAAATAACTCATGTAAATCTAATCACAGCCAAATAACTGATCAATAAGTAAGTTACAAGCGTCAGAAAGACTAATAGAAGGGAAATAAATACTATTAATTATAATAATAATAATTGTAACTTGATTAAACTCGAATGGAATTAATATGAGAAACCCAATAAGCTCATTTCTTAAGGATGTTTTTAAGAAATTACTATCTCAAACTTTTTGAGAAGGCAGCAGGTTTTGGTTGCCTTTTTGGTTGTCAGACTTCTGGAATCCCGGCTGACTCAGCCTAGAGGCCTGGCTCAATAGCAGGCAGACGTTACTGGAAAAAACTAAGAGCTAAAAATTGCATGCAGATCACTGTACTCTAGACCCTTGCCAGGCTTCCCAGCTTGGTGTTCGTCGGGTACCAGAGCAGAACTCATGATCCTCTCCCTTTGGATCTGCTTCTCCCAAGTCCCCAGTCTCAATGAGTGGTGCAATTCTTTGTTCTCTTTGGAGCTAAATACCTGGAATCTTGCCCTACACCTCGTTGTTCTCATGTCTTTTCTCCATCTACCAAGTCCAGAGGAGTCTGTATCATTACTATGTCTTTCTTCTTTATATAGAAAACTTTACAGGAAAAATTTTAATTAAATTAAAATACGTTGGAACAGAAGAAAGAGAGTGAGAGTGCAAGACAGAGAAAGAGAAAAAGAGACACATAACAGGAAAAGAGATGTTTATTTGCTTGTTCCTTACCCAAATGCCTGATCAACATATAGCCCATCTTGCCTCATTCATGCCTTTGACTACACTGTGTTGTTTTTCAGAACGTGACAGACATCTGATTAGTTCACCTGTAATCATTTCAGTACATTTAAAAAATATTAATATATTATGCATCTTTAAAAACTAGTAAATTCCTTAATGTTACTGAATTTTTAATCAGCGTTTTAATTTCTCTCAGTTTTCTCTTTTTCCCTCGTTGATACAGTTAGTTGATTTAGATCCAAGCAGAGTATGGCTATGATAATTGGTTTATATATCTCCTCAATTTCTTCAGACAAAGATTTCTTTTCCGTTTTTTCCCTTATAACTTATTTGTTGAAGAAATCAGATGGTGTGCTTGCTGTACTGTTCCCGGTGGCAGTTTTCCTTGTGGTATCCCTGTCCTTTAACGACTAATAGTATATCTATAGGGGTTGTCCATGCATTCATCAGTCCCTGTCGCAAACACCTGAGGCTTTGATGTTTATCATCGTAATCATTGCTGACAGTCAGGGAGGAACCTGTACGAGAGTTCATTTTCTCTTCACATACCGTACTTTAATGAGACTAGTCACCTTCTTTTTCTAGCTATATTTTGTTTTAGAAGTTTTATTTATTTGTACTTGGAAGTCAGATTTACAGAGAGAAGGAGAGAGAGAGAGAGAAGGAACGAGAATATCTTCCATCCACTGGTTCATTCTCCAAATGACCTCAACTGCCAGCACTGAGCTTTTCTGAAATCAGGAGCTGGGAGCTTCTTCTGGGTCTTCCAAATGTGTAGAGGGACCCAAGGACCTGAGCCATCCTCTACTGTCTTTCCAGGCCATAAACAAGGAGCTAAATTGGAAGTAGAGCAGCCAGGACACAAGCCAGTCCCGGGACTGAAGAATTAGCCTACTACATCGCTACACCAGTCTCTAGATACATCTTTAGGGGCTTTCCATGGCTGTGTCTTCTTTCTCCCGCTGCACTTGCCATTGAATAATGCCAGTCTTATGGGATTGTTGTTTTTTTTTTTTTTGCCAGTTGTATCATTTACTTTGCATGCTTCATCAGGGCAAGATCCTTGTCTGTCTTTACTTAGCACCAAAGGCAAAGGACAGTGGCAAATACCAGTGCTCAATTAGTACTTTTTAAGTATGTGGCATGAATACTTGAACAATGAACTCAATCAAAGGAGAGCAACACCTAAACAGACATGCTGTGGATTGAGTTTTTCCTTCAATGTGGAGATGTCCGGGGATAGCCAAGTAGGGGTGGAAGAAAATGAGAGGAGAGCAAAGACAAGAGGAGATGGAAAGTTCAGACGGTAGGCCAGTGGTATCAGTCATGTGGATAGGAAGCAGTGTTTCTGGCCGAGATACAGCAGAGGCAATGCTTCCCGGAATGCCCAGGACGGCATTACTATTAAGGGGCCAAAGAGAGGATAAAAATTCTTAAAGAGATCTTGTGCTGTGTGAAGGGGTGTAAGGTAGGCCTGTGTCCCAGTTCAATAGCCCTTGAAGGCATCATTGTGACACAGTGCATTGCAGCCTGTCAAAGCAGCCCATTCATACCTGCTGGTGTGCGCAGTGTCCTTACCAGACTGTGCAGTACTGTGCCAGGCCAGCACCGTGGAGGATGGAATTTCCTCCCCATCTGGCTTTGAAAACACCTACAGTGTAAGAATTCTTGGTTGGGCAACTTAAAATCTTATGGGAAAATGATACAGGGGCGTTGAGATGATAAGTAAATCTTCAAACGCCTTTATAAATATTTTGTAGGCTCCTGATGTAAAATCAATGTTCTGTGGTACAAAGAATAGCTGAAGATTAATATTCTTCAGAAAGTCTATGGAAAAAATGAAATGATGGTTTACCTGGATGCAAAGCAATTTTGAAATGTTCACAGAGATTTTTTAAATACTCATTTTTCATTAATTTCTTGAAGACTTCTGAAGTTTGATACATTTTGCATCAGTAAGAATAGATGTCTAACGATTCATATTTCCTTTATTTTGCTGGACTAAGAATGCTTACGAATTTGTTTTTCTTTCACAAATTTGTTTTTTCTTTCGTAGTCTTATGTCCAAGTAGTGATTCTGCCTACTGGGGATGCCTCTTTTCTGTTGCAGGAGACCAAATATTGCGTATGCTTGTGATTTCATAATAAAGATGTCTGATTTTTTAAATGTCACAACTGCATGTATTCTGAAGATTTCTCTAAATGCGGACAAAATCTTTTAGGCACAAACACAAAACTAAGCACAAGTATAATAGGTGAAGAAAATTAGATTCTGGAGCTGGCCTATATGGGTTTGAATTCTTATTCTATCACTAATTAGCCGAGTGACCTTTGACAAATTACTTAATTGCTCTGTGCCTTTAGTTTTACATCTGCAGAACAGAACAATAATACCATTTCGCAGTGCAGGGCTAAGATCAAATGATTTGCTCCATGTGTTTGGCAGTGTTCCTACCACATGATGAGGTGTATGAAAAAGATAACTGTTGAAATGTTAGCATTGAAATAAATCCATGCTTGTCAGGATTTTACCTATGGGAAATTTGGGACTGTAGAGGAATGACTAGAGTACTAAGCATCCAACAAACATGTTTGGTTCCTTATTAATGGGCACATGCGCATTCCTTTAGTAGTTGAAAACGCGAAATATTTGATCTATAGGTATTCATCACTGTCTGCTAGCTGTGGCTCTAAAGGACACCTATTTCAGACGGATTCCTCTAACCCTGTGTTCTCAGTCTGCAGCTCCTAGACCCTGCGCCACGCAGTGGTGCTCCAGTGGAAGGCACTGAAGTGTGTCCCTGTGTTGGGCACTATGCCCCTGGAAAATCACAGGTTTGTATGAGTCAGTATGGCAGCATTTCAGAATAGTAGCTTTGGAAAGCTGGCAAAAAAGAACTCAAGCAGGGGAGGAGGAAAGGAGAGCAGGATTGAGAGGATGCTGTCAAACTTTCAAGCTTATAAAGAAAACTCAATTAGGACCCTAATCTATCCCCTGATCGTATTGTCCTGATGAAAACGTGGGTGGTATTTATTATTTATCCCACGCATTTTTAACCTCTTACTAGGAACATAATGGGATGCTTTCCAGTCGCTCTACTGATAGAAAGATAGCAAAGCTCAAATATTCTTTGATCACCAGTAATTATGTAAAATAGGCTTGAGAAGGGTTTTGGCCTGTGATTGAATCTTAAAATAATGATTTCATGTGCACATTGTCACTTGGTTTATTTTTCCCCCCCCCAAGTGTTCAAACCTGTTTAAATGCAGTGCCTCAAGACTTTCTACAGAAAATTGTTCAAACTGAGTGGCTTGAAATGTTCTGAGGTTTATCTTTCCCTTTCCTTTTAATATTAGGACCATATTCGTCCTTCCTCTGCTTGCTACACGTTATGGACTCCACAGGATTCCTTAGGGGACTGGCCCCATGATGAGGTCACATCTGCAATTTCTTTTAGTTCTTGAACTGAAATTCAGTTTTAGTTTCAATGACTTCTCTTAATCACCTCACCTGGGTTGAATGTTAAATTTTTTAAAAACGTATTTGTGTGGTTTCCAGTTTTGGAGTTTTGTCTGAGTAGATTCTCCTGCATCCAAATCATGCAAGTGTGTCTTCAACCACCATGCCCAATCCATTCTCACAACACTTTCAGGAAAAATACGTTT